ACGTCGCAGAATTCACCTCGAACGCCTTCGCTGGCGTCGCCGGCGCGCCATCGCCGCACGAACCTGCCGTACCCATAGGGAGGTCGGAAGGAGGAGGACTGGCTATGGTCATGGGTTGGGTAGGGCTGGCGGGTCAGGTCTGCAGAGCACCCCAAACAGACGTCAAGGAACACAACCAACCTTTTCGGTCAAGCTGAAACTGATGCACCACACCCGGCATCAAGCCAAAAACTTTGGACATGAACGACTGGTTGGATCTTGCATATCCTCGCCGGCTCAGCCGGCGAGACGTTCGACCACCTCGACGTCTCTTTTTGGGTGGCCCTGCCCCTCGGCCCTCGGCCCCACTCAAGGCATGGGTGCGGCTTGTCGGGCCTGGGGGGAGGCCCCCGTTCGAGCGGGGACCCCCACCCGACCACGCGCACCCACAGCTGGGCCCCGCCGTCTCGCGCGCTGGGCCCGGCTGCTTGCGCGTTCTCCGCCCCGTCGCGGCGCGCGAGGCCGCTGCCGCCAAAGCCTGTGCTTCCGGTGCGTCGCGAGGGGGGGCTGTGGCACCGCGCCCAGGGGGAGCGAGGCCCGGCCGGGGGCCCGGCGCTCGTGGACGGGCGCGTGCCACTGCTCGCAGACGGGCTGCTCGCGCAAATGGCCCGGAGCCGCCGCGAGGGACTGACAATCCATCCCCCACCGAGGCACGCCTGCGTGTGCGCGTGTGCGTGCGCGTGCGCGTGTGCGAGTGCGAGTGCGTGTGCGTGTGCGTTTGTGTGTGCATGTTTTCGGACGCTCACGCGTGGGCCTTTGCCTGCGAGCAGCGGGACGCGCTCCGTGAGATCTCGGGAGCAGTGCGGCGGCGCGCGCGCTCCTTTTTGCAGAGGGCAGCGCGCGACCCACCAAACGGCGAGGGCCAGTATGTCGCAGTCGGTCTGTGAGGGGCGGGGGGCGCCGGGGGGGGAGGAGGAGGAGGAGGAGGAGGAGGAGGAGGAGGAGGAGGAGGAGGAGGAGGAGGAGAAGGAGGAGGAGGAGGAGGAGGAGGGGGAGGACCAGTGATAACCCACCAAGAAGTCATGCATGGTCATCAACGTGAATGTTGGTTGGAAAATATTATAACCCACCCTTAACCAACACCCTCATTAAACTCCTTCATATAAAAAACCCTTACCCTAAACCAGAATCAAAAAACGTCCTCCCTCCAAGCTCTCCTTCCTCTCTAGATAAGAGTCCACACTACAAACTAAACGTTCATTTTGCCGACTGAGGGACTGCCAACTCGCTCAAGACAAAAAAAAATAAAAAAACAGTTTGGGTGATGGAATGGACCCCGGAAGTGTGCCAAAACAATTGTTCTCAAACTCCATATTGTTCTCCTCACATTCTCTCAAGCTCAACTCTCTTCACTCTCCTTCTCTTCCTCGGAGGTTTCAACGCCACGTGTCAATATGACTGCTGCGTCTTGACGATCCTGAATCGTGCCAGAACGCCAATCCTAGGACTTCAACACAGAGGATCAATGTAACTATTGCCCCTGCATAATCCTAGATCCTTCCGACACACCATTCCTGGTACGTGGAACATGGGAACCCGTGGCACTCTTGCAAATGCTTAAAACGAGTGTGCGCGGTACCAAGGCGAGAGCCACATCTTGAAAACAAAAAACGCCCTCAATCCGTGGAACTCTTGTAAATGTTGAAAACGAATGTGCGCGGCGCTAACGCGACAACCACCTCTCGAAAAAGGCCCGCCCTCAGTCCGTGAAGCTCTTGCAACATTTAAAACAAGTATGTAGGAGGAGGAGGAGAAGGAGGAGGAGGAGGAGGAGGAGGAGGAGTTCGAGTAGGAGGAGGAGGAGTTCGAGAAGTTCGAGGAGGAGGAGGAGTTCGAGGAGGTGGAAGAGGGAGGAGGAGGAGTTCGAGGAGGTGGAAGAGGGAGGAGGAAGAGGAGGAGGAGGAGGAGGAGGAGGTGGAGGTGGAGGAGGAGGAGGAGGTGGAGGAGGGAGGAGGTCGAGGAGGGGAGGGCAGAGCGTCGGGGCCCCTCCGAACGGGGACGCCCTGGTGACCCAGGGGGCCCTGGCGCAGCCGAGCACGCGGAGGGAACAGCAAACAAGGGCCTCACAGCCAAGGCTGACTACAGTCGGGGCGTTGACCTGAGGAGCCCTAGATAAGGAACGAGGCCCCTTTTCCCCCTGAGTTGAACTTCGATGTCCCATCCAAAACAACTAAGGAGCACTGAGCCCCTCCCAAACGAAAAGGGGTCCTTCGTCAGCGCCCCGACTGTAATACAGGTGAGGTCAGTCCACAAGAAACCTTCGACGAGAAACGCAGCCCTGAGGCCCCAGGACGTCCATTGACTGTCAGGCGTGGGAACGTCGCGCTTCCCTCAGCAAAACCATCGGCACCCAAGAAACCCAGGGCACCGTGCAGGCAAGCAGTGTGTTTCTTGGCATGGGTCTCCACTGCAGGTCGACCCTGCCAAACCAAGGGTACCCTGATGTCCTGTGCCTTCTGCATTCCTGTGGCAGTGTGGCCCTCGGGAGGGTCTTGTGTCCTTCTCGCGTGCCCTCTCCAATCGGCCCCGACTGTACGCGAGATGGCACAGCGACCTGACGCCGCGGCTCACGCGGGCCGCTGGAGCGGCACGCTACGTTAGAGACGAGGGCGCTGCCGCGCGACCTCACGCGGGCAGCTTACGCGCCCACGTCGGCGAAGACGACCCCGTTTTCTTGTGCGTCGCCCAGCTGCAGCCGTGGGTGGCGAGACCTTCTCCATTCCGGGCGGACCCAGGACAGAAGAGAATCCATCAACAAGCGGGAGGCCCTCCGCCGGCCCGAACTGAAGAACACTCGGGGGTGCCCGGCCCCAGGATGCGCAAGAGCATCCAGCAAGCACGAAGAAAACGAGAGAGTACCCTCACCGAAGAGACCTCGACTTGGTTGCCCCGATACGCAACACGCAACACGTAGCGTATCGATACGGAGCTCAACACGTAGGCTGAAAACGTAGGTCCGACGCGATACATTCGCCAACACGTGGCCCAATACGTGGAGCCAACACGCAACGTATCAACACGGACGTCTTGAACACGGGACGTATTGCGTTTCAAAACGGGCGTATCGAGGCAACTAAGGACCTCGATCGTATACCTGGGTCCGACCGTATCCGCCTTCCGGCTTTCTCTGAACGGAACGCTTGAAAACTCCGAGGTCCGGCGACGACGACGACGTCGACGACGACGACGACTGCGGACCAGACTCCCATGCGGATTCCTACGCGGACACCTACGCGGATCCCAATGTGCACGGCGGCAGTGCCCGGAGCGCACTGGGGGGGGGGAGCGTTACGTCATAGGGGGGGAGGGGAGGGGGGGGGGCGGGGGCCAGGACGCCCGTCCTGCCCCAAGCAGTAAAGAAATGGTCTCCTCCGAGGTCCGCGCGGGCTTCGCTGATCGGCACGGGGCCCCCCCCCCCTCCCTGGCGGCGCGCGGAGCGCGCCATGGGGCGGCCCTGAGGGCGCCGCCGGGGGGCTCTCCAGCGCAGATCCAAGACATCCGCGCGGACCTTCGGGTTTGGAGGATGGGCCGATGTCCCACCACTGCTACCATAGGTAGGAGGGGGAGGAGGAGGGGGAGGAGGAGGAGGAGGAGGAGGAGGGGAAGGAGGAGGAGGAGAAGGAGGAGGACCTCCCTATCCTTCCTTCTCCCCCCGTCCTGCCCATGGTGGTGGTGGTGGAAGGTTGGCCCATCGTTGGATGCTCGCGCCATTGTTTGTTCCCCGGTGTCTGTTGTGGCAGAGGCGTGACATTTCGTGTGCCATGGCCTGTGGACGCCTCTCAAAAGGAAGGCCTGGTGAGCAGTGTCCTGGTGTGCGTGTCGCTGTGGGTGTAAGCGCGCTGCCCGTCATGAGCGAGCCGCCCGACTTGTCGCAGACACGCAGACGGAGAGGCAGCAGCCTGTCAAGTGTCACAAAGGCACAGAGCAAATAACATTCCATGGTCTTCCTCAGGGTCGGCGGATGTGGCAAAAGCCTGCAGAATCTGTCAAAAGAAGGCCTGGTCAGCAGCGTCCTGGTTTGGAGGGCCCCGAGAGAGGCGGGAGGCCCTCCAAGCTTCGAGTAGGAGATCGACTGCAGAACGGATGCGCCCCAACTTTTGACGATCTCGTCGGCTCTACGAGAATACGCATAATGTAATTGGATCTACGAACATTATACGTCTCTCTGCTCGTAGACTCGACGAACCGATTAATTCTGGGTAGCTCAGCTCTGCAGTCGATCTCCTACTCGAAAGCTGAGGCGGGGGCGAGGAGCCGGCGAGAGGCAGGCGGGCGAACCTCGCGAGGGAGCGAGGCCTGGCAGCAGGTCGGGCATGCCCTCCTACAGGCGGGTCTGGAGAGAAACGCGGAACAAACTCAAACGATCTGCAGAAACACCCGAACACAGTCGAGACATCGTACCCCGGCTACTTGTTGACCAGTTTCGACTACTCCTCCTGTAGAGGGACCGGCCCGCTTGAAGCCTAGCAGGGAGGCGCGGGCGGGGCGCGGCGTGCGCGGCCCCGCCGGGGGGTCGCCCGGGGGCAGGCCATGTGTCGGCGCCGCAGGCCCCTCCTCAAGAGGAGGGGCCGCTCACTGCGGCGGGCGCATCATCGCATCCTGCAGCGACTTGTTGATCTGGGCGGCCCAGTCGAGGCCTTAAGCTGCCCCGATGCGCCACCCAGCGGACACGCGTCGCGTGTCGCCGCGGGGCTCCACCCGTGGACGGACACGGGCAGGTCTGGCGCAGTACCTTCGCCAGAACGCGGGCCAGCACGTGACGATCCGACACGCAGCGCTTTGTCGGCTGCACGTAAGAGTGACCTCTGGGTGAGAGTGACCTTTGGTGCGCGTGCGCGGCTTTTCGGGGAGCCGCGGGGGGGCCAACCCCAGGCGCGCAAGACACTGCTGCCGCATCGCGTTCGGCGATCGGGGGACCCCAACGGGCCCGCACCAAAGGCCACTCCGTCGAAAGGTCACTCTTACGTGTAGTCGATGTTAACACTGACGTCTTTCACACGGCGCGTGCTGCGCTTCGGCACGGGCGAATCGGGGCAGCTAGGATCGAGGCAGGCGGCCCGGTCCGCCGAGAAGTCCGCCTCGCTCTCCTTCTGGGTGATCGTCGTGCGCAGGTTGTACAGGTTCGCGCCGTGCCAGTTTATCCTCTGCTCCTGCTCCTCCAGGCTGGCCGCCGTCTTGTCGTCCGCGAGGTGCGAGCGCTTGGCCTCGTGGCCAATCTTGAGGAAGCTGACCTGCTGTTTCAGGGCCGAGTTGCGGGCCTCAAGCTGCTTCTTGCGAGCCTCCAGCTTCGCACACTGGGATTCCCCTTGTCGCCTCATCACGTCAATCTTGTCGTACTTGTCCGCCATCTCCCGTTCGTACTTGCTCATCTTTTCTTCCACCTGTCTCAGCTCCTGTGAGATCTTCACGTCCAGGCTCTCTATCTTCTCCAGCTCGCCCTCTCGCTTCGCCAGGTCTGCCTCCAAACGCTGCTGTGTGGTCTCGGCATTCTGAAGCTGTCGGTTCTTGAAGTCGAGGTCGTCCTGCAAGTCGCTGAAGTGGGCGTCGGGCGACGTGTCGGCGGGGAGCCCTACTGCTTTCGAGATGCTCTCCAACAACGCTGTGATGTTCTTCGACTTGTCCTCAATTTTCCGCTCCTCTTGCTCCTTCAGGGAGGGAAACGAGTCTATAAACTGGGTCATCTCCTGGTCTTTCGTGAAGAGCACTTCGTATTTTTGCTGGTCCTGATCGTCTTTCTTCTCTCGCGCATCGTTCGCAACCTGCTTGATCAGGGTCCGGAGGTTTTCGTTCTCCTGCTTCAACTCGAAGGTCCTCTTCTCGGCCTCCACGATGTCGGCATTGTCGCTCTTGACCCTGCTCAGCAAGAGCTCCCTCTGCTCTGGGATGCCGAGGTTGCACTGCTGGATCTCCTGATCGAGTATCTCGAGGCGCTCCTGGGGAAACCACAGGGTACCGATACCGCTAAATCCCTGGACCCATCCTGGGTGCTCTCTGACAAGGATTTCGATGCGAATCCGGCCGTGGCGATCAGGGCCTCCCAAGAGCCCAGGAGGTCCAGAGAGGCGACAGCCGGGGAGGTGCAGCGGTGTCGGCACCTCCTTCCTCCTCGGAGCTCCGCCAGCTCCGTCTTCACCTGCGACAGCTGCTGGAACCGAGTCCGCAGGAAGTCGGTGCGCAGCCTGCCCTCCTCCGCATTGAGGCGCCCGCTAACCTGGTCCAGGTCCTCCCGGGCTTCCGAGAGCTCACGGGCGAGGCGCCCGTTCTCCTCCCGGAGATCCTCGTACTCGCGTCGCTGGTCCGGATGCAGCTCGCTGAGGCGGTCTTCGGCGGCACGTGCGATGGCCGCGATCTCCTGGTCCATGCGGGAGATCTCTTCCTCGTGGCTCCTCTTCTCGAGGAAGATCTGGTCCACATCGCTACGCTGCTGCTCGTTCTGCTGCCTCATGACCTGGTACATGTGGTGCACCTCTTCCGGCCGCGTGTCTGTGCGCTGCTTGTCCGTCGCCAGATTGTGGTCTGCCAGATCTCCCTCCAGATTCCTGACCGTCTTAACCAATGTTTCGTACCGCTTCTCCAGGGAGTTGTACAGCTTGTTCTCCTGCTGGATACCGTTGATCTCCTTGTTCAGCCTGCCGATCTCGTCCTGCAGCTCCTGGCGCTTGGTGCGCAGCTCGCCCATGTAGTAGGTCTTGTCGTAGATCTGACGCTTGGGTCCGACGCCGCCCGTCTTCAGAGGAAGATAAAGAGGCGCACGCATCAACTTCCAGAACTCCGCGCAGACTTCTCGGACCGGCCGGCGCCGGCGCCCCCTCCCTGCCGCGCACAGCGCGCCGGAGGCCCAGCGCAGATCCGGGGAATCCGCGCGGAGCTCCGAAAATCCATGCCTGTGCCCCTGTTTTCTCCTTCCAGTCTTCATCCCTGCCATGCCCTGCATGGTCATGGGGCGCTCCGAGACCTTTCGGATGCACGCAGGAGTGTTGGCGGCGCGCAGAAGGGGGTAGGGGGGAGGGGGGAAGGCTTCGTAGGAGGGGGCTGCTTCTCAGGAGGTGCCGGCCCTACATGTATACAGAGAAGGCCTGTGCCTCCCGAGGAGCAAGGGTGCTTCTAAGAAGCCCTCCCCCCTCCCCCTGACCCCCTCTGCGAGTGGCCGAGATAGGGGGGTAGAGAGAGAGAGAGAGAGAAACAACCACAAAAAACGAGCACCTTTCGGGCCCCTTTTGGGCCCCAGGGGGCCCCTCCTAGGGCCCCTTGCGGGCACCAAAGGTGCACTGTCTTCGGCCCCCTATACCCGCCAGCCGGAAGAAGGACGTGAAAGCATGAAGTAGGAAGGCGGATTAAGTAGATTGGCTTCGGGCAAAAGAACAACAAACACAAACAGACACAGATCGATTCTTGAAGCAGGAAGGCGCTTCGAGCAGATTGGGACCTGGGAGTCCATAGAAGGCACCTGATTCCAACGACTGGCGTGAATATATCGCCACCGCATTGCGCAGCGCCCGATGGGCCCGCACCAATAGAGGCCTCCTAGATGGGGTCCGAGTAGATGGGGTCGGAGGATCTCGTCGCATCGCCGATGCATCGGCAATGCATCGCAGATGCATCGGCGATGCATCGGCGATGCACTGGCGACGTCGGCGATGCGTCGGCGATACGTCGGCGATACGTCGGCGAGGGAACCCCTCAAGGGCCCCTTGCGGGCGACAATCTCGGCGTTCTCGTCGATTCACACGGAAAAAAATGAGGGAGGAGGAGGAGGAGGAGGAGGAGGAGGAGGAGGAGGAAGAGGCCGAGGAGGAAGAGGCCGAGGAGGAGGAGGAGGACGACGACCACCTCCCCCTGACCCCCTCTGCTTCCAGGGGTCGCTCCCGCGCGCGGCCGAACCTTCACCTCCGTGAGGGTGCCCACGCCCGGGCCCTTGGCCGCGGTGCCCTGGCGCACCCCGCCCCGGGTCCCCGCGCCGCGCGCGGCGGTGCCGGGCGCCATCGTGCCCGGCCGGGAGGCGGTGCCGGGCATGCCCAGTCCACTGGCCATGGCTCGAGGAAGAAACAGACCACAGGGGGGCCAGCGCGCTCCACGACCTGGGGGGTCACTGCTCGCAGAAGACCTGCGGCCGCCGCGGGGGGCCCAGGATAGATGACTTCGGAGCAAACATGTGTTTCTCGGACGTTTCCGAGTGGGCACTTTGCGAGTAGTGGAACGCGATCGATGACACAGGGGAACGGACATAAACATAAAAACTCGGATCCGAGAAATCTGCGCGGACCTCAGAATTTGCATGTTCATGCTATTTTTCGTTCCCCTAATAAAACAAGCCAGGAGATCCGGGCGTCGCATTTTTTCCCACCGGGCGGTTTGTCGTCCGTCTTCGGGCCCCTCGGGACCATCACAGATCGATCCGGCCCGAAACGCGCCGCTGAAACATGGGGTCTAGGGCTCTGTTCATGATCCTTCGCGATGGTGCATTCTTTTTCGCAACGTCGGATCTCAGGGAATGGCATCCACAGAGGTTTTCGGAAGTCCGCGCTGTCTTCTTGGGTCAGGACTGACCCCCCTCCCTGGCGCGCTGAGCGCGCCAGGGACGGCGACGGAGTCGCCGCCAAGGGGGCCCTAGCGCTGACCTCAGGAAACCGCGGAGCGCCGAAAACTTATGTTTGTGCAGCTGTTTGTTCCTCGCATGGTGCCGGGGCGCGCTCCGGCCATGCCCATGCCGGTGGTGCCCATGGGCCCTGCGGGTCCCGTACGGGACGTCGGTCTCCCGGGTGCCGGCTGCATAATGCCTTGCGCCCTCTGGCGGGCACCTGGGCGCTGGCCGGGGCCTGTCCAGAGGGGCCCTGTCTTGAGCTGAAATGGCTACAGTCAAGCAGCTGCCATGAGGAACGCTCCATAAGGGCGCGAGCACCCTTAAAACCCCGCACGCCCCCTGAGGTGCACGGGCGGCACTAGAGGAGTAACCATGGAAGGACCTGAGGAAAAACAAACTCCTTCCGAATTCGAACGGTTCCTTATGTCATAATGTCTTGACTGCATGGGAAGCTGGTCATTTTGGGATGAGGTAGGGTGCGATGTACTTGGTGGGTTTTGGCTGGGGTGGGGCTAGGCGTCAAGGAAGAAGGCCACAGGATTTCTCGCTCACCGATCACACCCACCTTCAGCACACAGGCAGCATTCAAGATTCCGCACGAGCAGCAATCGCCATCCAATTTGGAGCCATGTGTAACAACCCCCACCAGACCTGTGGGCGTAAGTGGTCTAATTATACTTTTCTTTCCGCCTCTAAAACCATCTTCCCTTCGGGGAAGGGTACCCTCCCACCCCTACCTGAGGTTTCCGGGTCCTCCCGCGATGTGTCAGGGTGTCCTTTTTCGCACCATATGGCTCCAAGAGAGCATGCGATGCTCAAAGATGGCCCTCATGTCTGAAATAGCCGATGATAATTCAAAATGACCATGCCTCAGAGAGGCCCCCCAAGGACCACAAGATAGGCCCAAGCGCTCGCGGAACCCCCTCAGGACTCCCCAGGGTGGCCAAAAATCAATGATTGCTGCCTTCTCTCCATTTCGTTTCCGATGCGACTTCAGGCCGCAGTATGGCCCAAGAAAGCTCCAAGAGTTGCCCAGGAGGCCCACAAGATGGCCCCAAGACCGCCTCCCAAGAGCATCCCAAGAGCGCCCTGCTTATACGTTGCACCCCCTTATGCGGATGTCCTTGTCCTTGTCCTCCTCCGCATCCTCCTCCTCCTCCTCCTCCTCCTCCTCCTCCTCCTCCTCCTCCTCCTCCTCCTCCTCCTCCTCATCCTCATGATCATCATCATCCTCTTCCTCCTCGCCCTCCTCCGCTGCCTCCTCTGCATACTCCTCCTCCTCCTCCGCCTCCTCCTCCTCGTTCTCCTACTCATCCTCCTCCCCCTCCTTGTCCCAAATGGTGGTGATATTCCCGAAGTGTCGAGAGTGACGTGGGGTAGATGGCGACCCTGGTCCCCAGACTCGTGGACTGAGTCACACTGGGCCGCATGTGGAAACACGCACTCAAGAGACGCAAGGCCACCGACCATTGTGCACAGTCATCGTGCTGCCATACGGAGAACGATGGGACACGCACGAGCAGGGCCCGTCTGGCCAGCCAGGGCAGGCCTCGGCCTCGAACGAGCTGCACGACCCAGATGTGAGGAGTGCCCTGGAAGCCGGAACGCCTCTTGAGCCCATCACAGCCGAACAGGTGGCCCCGAAATCTGTATCATTGAACTGGCCCCCATCCCCACCCCCATCCCCTTCGAGACCCCCACCAAATTACCCCCACAGTTGAGGACACACCACTCAAAACCCGAAGGGGACTTTTTTGCCATCAACGGCTTCACCAGATAAGCCAAAAGAAAGGAGACTCCTTACAGCGGAGCGCCCGCTATGGCCCCTTCCCCTCACGGATCGACCCTCGGCTCAGACGCCAACAACAGGGCCTCCGTCAGCTGCGCAAGAAATGGCCACTGTTGAAAACGTGCCTCACTGTCTGGCCTACACGCCAGAGACAGTGCACGAGTGAAAAACGATTGCAGCCGAGCAGAGAGGCTAGACAATCTCTGCAGCAGCGAGCACGAGAGCGACGGGTGTGCCAAGTCGCGAGCGCGAGACTTGGCCCAGAGACCCGACGCAGAGTGGCCCCTCACAGGCACGCTCGGACCAAGGGGAACGAGCTACACTTGGACAAGGGCCCAAGCCATACAACACAGCAGCACTGATCCTTGAAGAAGACCGCCCACCACACGCCTAAGGCGAGAGCGGCTGAGTAGCATCGGCTGTGCACGAATCTGCCCCGAGTCTGAAGGCCGCGGCAGGGCGTGCGGTTGGGGAGGGGATTCCTCCCCCGTGCCCTGACTCACGCTCTAGGCAAAGAAAAAAGGGTGGCGGCCCCCTGAGCAGCTGTCACCGCAGGGGAGAAGGCACCCCACGGCCGTGCGACAGGGGGGCGAGGGCAGCACGAGGCAGTGAAAAGGACGGCCAACTGCGCCTGCACGACGAAACTCCAATGCCCGAGTTCCAGGGCTGGCTGCGTAACCAGCACCGCCGAGCAGGACGCGGCAAACCCCAGATCGAGCCTGCCGCGTGAGCCCATCTCACGCCGAGCCGAAGGCAAATTACCAGTACCTCGGAGGGCGACGGTCGGGGAGGACGAATGTCTCCCCCGTGCCCTGACGCACACACTTGCACTGGAGGCGGCCCCCTGAGCAGCGGTCACCGCAGGGGAGACATCACCCCACGGCCGTGCAACAAAGGGGCGTGGGCATCGCGAGGCAGTGAAAAGGACGGCCAGCAACGCGGAACTCCAAAGCCCGAGTTCAAGGGCTGGCAGCGCAACCACCGCCGAGCAGGACGCGGCAAAACCCCAGATCGATCCTGCCACGTGGGCCCAAAACACGCCAGACAAGAAAGACAGTGCAACTCATAGCTGGGCGAACGGTCAGGGAGGACGAGATTTCTCCTCCAAATCGGCCAGTGGGGCCCAGCCCACGCTGGCGGGGATGGGGATCGGTTCTACGATACTCAAGAAAGGGATCACCTCAGAAGTCTGGGCCAGCGTCCCAGAAGTTGCTTGAGCAGCACCTGGGTGCACGGTTTGCCCCGGGGCCGCAGTCGACCCGAGGAGGAGGAGGAGGGAGGATGAGGAGGATGAGGAGGATGAGGAGGA